AAAAATTTAAAAAATTAGCTGGGCATGGTGGCGGGCATGGTGGCAGGCACCTGCAGTCCCAGCTACTCGGGAGGCTGAGGTGGGAGGATCCCTTGAACCCTGGAGATGCGAGCTGTGATCGCACCACTGCACTCCAGTCTGGGTGACACAGTGAGATCCTATCTCCCCCAAAAAAAATTGAGAAAGAAAAAGAAATGTACAATAAAAAATATAGTATTACAATCACATGGGACCACCATTTTACATGAGGTCCCTCGTTGACAGCCACACAATTAAATAGAGCGTGACTGCACCAAAATCATGGGAAAACTTTCGTATTTCAAAGTAGTGAAGACTTTTGGGTGCCAAAAACGGAAAGAACAGAAAATTCCATCCGAGAGAAATTCAAAACGTGCACATAGCAAAATCTACCGGCGAGTAAAATCAAAAGATAAAGAAAAAAATATCTGCTGCTCATAAAGTAGCACTGGGTTGTGAGACCTCGGGGAAATCATTTCTCCCTTCTGAGCCTCCGGTGTTCCTAGGGTTGGGACGGAGATGACAACGGCGGAAGTCACGGGGTGGAGGCGAGGATCAAGAGGACAGACACCTCACTAAAGACTCCCTGACAAAGGGATCACGGCGCTCCTTCACCACCGGCACCTGCCCAGGATCGCAGACCTCCCTCCAACCCGCAAGGCTCTGGGCATAGGGGCGTGGCCAGGTGTCTGGCCCCGCCCCCGCCCCGCCCCGCCCCGCCGGGGCCTGGTCCTGGGAGCGCGCGCCCGCTGGGGCTTCCGGACTCGCTCCCGCGCGGCCCGAACCCCTCACTGCCTGTCTGAGGCGCATCTTCTGACAAAGAGAAGAAGGCGAAGCCTCGCAGCCGCCTCCCTTCCACCGTCCACGCCCTCGCACGTTCAGCCAGGCCTGCCCCGCCGGCCCCGCTCGGAGGAGGACGCTGGGCAACCTCGGACACCGCCCTGAGGGTCACCGCCGCCTACGAGTCGCCGAAGTTTGGGCTCCCACCCTGCGCGGGCACGAGCCCATCCCTCATCTCTTTCCCCTCGGCCCCAGGCCGCGCGGAGCTACCTGGAAGCCCCCCTCGTACCTGAAGGGGCGCAGCCTCCACTCCTGGCCCAGTGCCACAGCGGGTCACGGCGCGGGCCGGTGAAGACGCGCGGAGACGGGGGCTCTGTCACCCACTCGCGGCTGGTGGTGGGGGAAGGGCGGCCACCGGCGCGTTCGCAGCACTGCACATGCGCAGATACAGGGGCGCGCGCCGTTCCCAGGGTCCTCGGAGGGGTGGGCCGTCGACGCTGCGGACTACGCTTCCCACAAGCCTCCGGGGCCACGGCGTTAGGGACTCTCAGGAAAGTCTACTCTTTGTTAGGAGGTCTGATGAGCTGACCAAAATAATCCCTTGGCCTGCACTGTTTCTTTTTCAGAGTGAGTCGTGAATCACAATTCACCACCTCCCCCCTAAATACAACAACTTGGCTTTTAAACATTACACAAATCTGTAATTGTATTTAAATTAGAATATATGTAGAAAATTAAAGAAGACAGTATCCATAATTTCTATTCTAAAGATAACTGCGGGTAACGTTAAGTTCGCACTTTGATTTTTTTTGTTTCTGTTACAAAACTGGACATAAAGGTATCATGTGCTGCAACTAGCTTTTTGGCCTTTTTTCCCGTGTCACATTATTGAAGTATAGTGGATCTATGTATTTAAAGTGTACAATTTGTTATATACATCGGGAAATATTTACCATAATCAAACTAACATGTGCATCACCTCACAGTTACTATTTTTTTTTTTTTTTTTTTTTGGCTAATGAGAACAGACAAAAGATCTATCTTCTTAGCAAATTTCAAGTATACAGTATTGTCAACTATTGTCACATAGTTGTGCATATCTCCAGAACTACGCCTGTTGCATAACAGACTGGGTACCCCTTGGCCACCATCTTCCCACTTCCCCTTCACCCTCGGTTCCTTTTATCCTTTATTTTTAGAACAGTTTTAGGTTCTCAGCAAAATTTGAGCAGAAAGTATATTGAATTCCCTTATAAACCTTGTCCCTGCAGCACACATAACCTCCCCAAAGTTAATATCCCACACCAGAACAGTGTATTTGTTAAAACTGGTGAACCTACAGTTAAGTATCACTAGCACCTGGCCAGGCTCACTAGCTCACACCTGTAATCCCAGCACTTTGGGAGCCTGAGACCAGCAGATAGCTTGAGCCCAGGAATTCAAAACCAGCCTGGCCAACATGATGAAACTTCATTTCTACACAAACATACAAAAAGTAGCCTGGCATGGTGGCACACTCCTGTAGTCCCAGCTACTCGGGAGGCTGAGCGGGGAGGATCGCTTGAGCCTGGGAGACTGAGGTTGCAGTGGGGGAAGATTGTGCCACTGCACTCCAGCATGGGTGACTCTGTCTCAAAAAATATAAATTTTTAAAATATCATTGGCACCTAAAGTTCATAGCTTACATTAGTGTTCCCTTTTGATGTTGTACATTCTATGGGTTTTGACAAATGCATGGAACCATTACAGTATCGTACAGAATAGTTTCACTGCCCCCCAAAAATCATCTGTGCTCCACTTACCCATCCATCCCACAACCCCTGGAAATCTCTGATATTTTTACTGTCTCCATAGTTTTGCCTTTTCCAGGTTGTCATATAGTTGGAATCATACATAGGTTGCTTTTTCAGATTGGCTTCTTTCACTTAGCAATATGTATTTAAGTTTCCTTCATGTCTTTTCCTGGGCTTTTTTCTTTTTTTCTTTTGTTGGAGTGAGTGCCACGATCATGGCTCACTGCAGTCTCCACCTCCTGGGCTTAAGTGACCTTCCAAGTTCAGCCTCCTGAGTAGCTGAAACTGCAGGTGTGCACGGCCATGCCTGGCTAATTTTTTGTATCTTTTTATGTAGAGATGGGGTTTTGCCATGTTGCCCAGGCTCATCTCGAACTGGGCTCAAGAAATCCTCCTCCCTTGGCCTCCCAAAGTACCCGGCGTGAGCCACTGTGCCCAGCCTCATTTCTTTTTAGTGCTGTATAATATTCTATGGTCTGGATGTACTAGTGTTTTAAATCCATTCACCTACTGAAGATACCTTGGTTGGTGCTCTAAACATCTGTGTGCAGGTTTTGTATGGATATAAGTTTCTAATTCTTTTGGGTAAATAGCATGGTTGCTGGATTGCATGGTTAACAGTATGTTAGTGAGACAGGAGTGTTCCCTGGACTCCTTCACTGGACTTAACGACAGAGGTGTGACTAACTTAGCCGCTGCACTAAAACCCCTTATGGGAGAGGGAGCATGCAGGCAAGTGGATGCCAGGGCCAGGGCGAGCACCTCTGGGCTCTGGCCCCATGGTAGCATTTACAGGTGTGTTACAATTAATGCTCTTTTAGCAGTTACCATCCACGGATGGCTAAGTGTTAACCAGCTCAGTGGAGAGTCAGGGTGACAGTCTTTTACACCCTGCCCTCTTGATACCTGGGTCCTTGTCTGGGCATCCAGAATCAAGTCACATGGACTTGAAGAATGGTGGATGGGGAAGTTTTATTGAGTGAGGGAGGTGGCTCTCGGCAGGATGAAGGGCTGGAAAGGGGATGAACTGGGAAGATAATCACCCCCTGGAGTTCTGCTGTCCTGGCCAAATTCCTCTCCAACCATCCAGCTGCCTCTTCAACATTCAGATGCTTTTTCTCTTCCCTCCTCTGCCGCCCTGCTCTGCCACTCTTCTGTTTGTGGAGCCTAGGATTTGGGGCTCTTATGGGCACAAGATAGAGAGCAGGGTGGGCCAGAGTGGTCTTGGAAAAGGCAACATACAGGGGTGGAAACAAGAACGCCTGTTCTCGTTTATGGCCACGGGTCCAGGCTTGAGGATGGAGCCCTAGCCATGGACCCCGCCCTCCTCCCTCCTGTGCATGTCATTAGTTTTGTAAGACACTGCCAAAACTGTCTTCCAGACTGGCTGCGTCATTTGGCATCCACCAACAATGCATAAGAGTTCCTGTTGCTCCAAATCCTCACCAGCATTTGTTGTCAGTGTGCTGACTTTTGGCCATTCTAATAGCTCGCTTTTAATTAAAATGAGAGCCTCAAACAGGTTCATAGAAAACTGTTTACACCAATGTTCATAGCAGCATTATTCACAATATCCAAAGGTGGAGACAACCTAAGTGTCCATCAGCTGATTAAAGATACAGTGTATTATTATTCAGCCATATCAAAGAGTGATGTTCTGGTACTTGCTACCATGTGATGAAAACTTGAAAATACACTAAGTGAAACAAGCCAAGCTATGATTGTGCCACTGCACTCCAGCCTGGGTGATAGAATGAGAAACTGTTTCTTAAAAAAAAAAAAAAAAAAAGAAAGAAAAAAAGAGGCCAGGCGCAGTGGCTCACACCTGTAATCCCAGCACTTTGGGAGGTCGAGGCAGGTGGATCACAAGGTCAGGAGTTTGAGACCAGCCTGGCCAACATAGTGAAACCCCATCTCTACTAAAAATACAAAAATTACCCAGGCATGGTGGTGCATGCCTGTAGTACCAGCTACTCAGGAGACTGAGGCAGGATCACTTGAACCCAGGAGGTGGAGGTTGCAGTGAGCTGATATTGCACCATTGCACTCCAGCCTGGGTGACAAAGCAAGACTCTGTCTCAAAAAAAAAAAAAAAAGGATAATGTGTACTAACCACATGGGGGTTATTTCATTGAGAAATGAAATAATACAGATCACACAAGAATATGTGGAGCGTAATCCTATTTTTGTAAAAAACTATGCACATTTTAAAAAGACTAAACACTGAAATACATGAAGAGAATGGAGAACCCCCCAACACATACACACAAGATAAATTCCCCTACCTGCCTTATGTGTAACAGCACTGAGTAAGCACCATGTGTGTGGGCTGTGCTTTTCAAGACCTTGTAAAATTCACAATCACGCTGTCCTCTATTAATTTTCCTTCAAAAATCAAGGGCAGGATTCTAGCGGAAGGGGCTCCGGTTACGTTGGAGGGCTGGAGTGGTCTGGAGTTCCACGGCGTAGTTGGCTAGAGACCACCTCTCCTGTGGCCTCTTAGTGTCCCGAGGGTGGCGTTCAGCCCAAGCTGGATAGAGACAGCCCTTCGTGGATTTAAACAACCTAAACATTAAGCAATACAGCTGCCTCAAATCTTTGGGAATTTCAGAATGACTGACACTGCCGAAGCTGTTCCAAACTTTGAAGAATGTTTGCTAGTAGATTCACAAAAGACGACGAGGAATATCAGGAATACTTAAAACGCCCTCCTGAGTCCCCTCCAATTGTTGAGGAATGGAATAGCAGAGCTGGTGGGAACCAAAGAAACAAGCAACTGATTGCAAGATAACAGACAGTTCAGAGGCAGGGACAGCAGATGGAGGTGGCCAAGTGACAATCGATCCAATCAGTGGCATGGACGATCCTGGGGTAACAATTACCCACAACACAGACAAGAACCTTACTATCCCCACCAATATGGACATTATGGTTACAACCAGTGGCCTCCTTACGGTTACTACTGATAGAAACGTTGGCAGCTTTTAGCAAAAGCATTTACTCTGTTACCATGACAAAAGTTTGGGTGTCTTCTGTTGGTCATAGTTATACATTTGATTTTAGAGAAGGGATTATTTTTTGGAAGTTGAGATTTAAAAAAAAATAGATCTTACTTGCGGGATGCTATGTTTGCTGGTAATACCTGAAATTGTGGATTATATTGCTTGACTTCTACCTCAGAGTCTTCCTTGTTTCGCGACGTAATAGTACTTTGAGTTTGGTATATTTTCTTATTTGACCTCTAGGAGACCTTTGTTTTACACAGAAATAAAAATTTTTAAATAGAAAATGCTTGCTTTTACTTTGTAAGGTAAGAGAGTATCCATATACTTAGATGTGCTCATTTCTAAAATTCTAGAAGTTAATACAATCAGCTCATGAATGCACAGCTGTGCTGCTTGTGAAAGATTGTACATAACATCAGCAGTTGAAAGATAAAACAATTGCTTTTTTTTTTTTGCTCTTGTTACATGACTGTGGTACTTGTGATTCCTTACTCTATAGATAATGAGTCAGCTCCACATTTATTTGGGTCTCTTTAGAGGGAAATCAGTAATAAAGCTGTAAAATAAGAAAAAAAAAAAAAAAAAGAAAAATCAAGGGCAAGTGTAGAGGGTGTTTTTGAAAAACACATTGCTGGTTCGGCGCAGTGGCTCATGCCTGTAATCCCAACATGTTAGGAGGCCAGGGCGGGTGGATCGCCTGAGGGCAAGAGTTTGAGACCAGCCTGACCAACATGGTGAAATTCCGTCTTTATTAAAAATACAAAAACTTAGACGGGCATGGTGGCACACGCTTCCTCAGCTACTCGGGAGGCTGAGGAACGAGAATTGCTGAGCCCGGAAGTCAGAGGCTGCAAGAGCCGAGATTGTGCAACTGCACTCCAGACCAGGCTACGGAGAGAGACTCTGTCTCAAAAAAAAAAAAAAGTGACAGTTTAAAATGAACCAAAGATCCCAAAGCATAAATAACAATGTGGTTTGTTAGCAGCATATTTAAAAAAATTTTTATTTTGATTTACTTGCTAAAGTGACATCACTATGGGCACAATGACATGTCACTGCACATAATCACCGTGAATTTTGTTCTCTGCTGCATTAAAATCCACTGGTATTTCTTTTTTCTTTTTTTTTTTTTGAGACGGAGTTTCACTCTTGTTACCCAGGCTGGAGTGCAATGGCGCGATCTCGGCTCACCGCAGCCTCCGCCTCCTGGGTTCAGGCAATTCTCCTGCCTCAACCTCCTGAGTAGCTGGGATTACAGGCACGTGCCACCATGCCCAGCTAATGTTTTTGTATTTTTAGTAGAGACGGGGTTTCACCATGTTGACCAGGATGGTCTCGATCTCTTGACCTCGTGATCCACCCGCCTCGGCCTCCCAAAGTGCTGGGATTACAGGCTTGAGCCACCATCCACTGGTATTTCTTACACTGTAGATGGATCTTTTATCCGTTCATGATTTTGTAACATCATGCCTTGCTTATTTGAATAATACCAGTTCGGCCGGATCCGGTGGCTCATGCCTGTAATCCCAGCACTTCAGGAGGCCAAGGCAGGCAGATCACCTGAGGTCAGGAGTTCAAGTCACCTGGCCAAAATGGCAAAACCCTGTCTCTTCTAAAAATACAAAAAAATTAGCCGGGCATGGTGGCAGGCACTTGTAGTCCCAGCTACCAGGGAGGCTGAGGCAAGAGAATTGCTTGAACCTGGGAGGCGGAAGTTGCAGTGAGCCGACATTGCATCACTGCACTCCAGCCTAGGCAACAGAACAAGACTCCATCTCAAAAAAAGAAGAAAAAGAAAAAAAGAGAGAGAGAGAAAAATACAGTTTAATACAGTTTAACCATTTTATTATACAGTATCAAATAACCACATTAACATCACCACTGGGTGCCGGTGCGGTGGCTCACGCCTATAATCCTAGCATTTTGGGAGGCCAAAGCAGGCAGATCCCTTGAGTCCAGGAGTTGTAGACAAGCCTGGGCAACATGGAAAAACATCTCTACCAAAAAAAAATAAACAAAAATTAGGTAGGTAGGTACGGTGGCATGCGCCTGTAGTTCCAGCTACTATGGAAGCTGAGGTGGGAGGATCACTTGAGCCCAGGAGGTTGAGGATGCAGTGAGCTCTGATTGTGCCTCTGCACTCCAGCCTGGGTGACAGAGTGAGACCCTGTCTCAAAAAAAAAAAAAGTTTCGACCTCCTGGATCCCCAGAAAAGGTCTTGGAGATCCCAGGATGTGTAGATCATACTTTAAACGTAATAACAGTATTATCACACATAAAATATTAACAGGGCCAGGCATGGTGGCTTACGCCTGTAATCTCAGCATTTTGGGAGGCTGAAGTGGTGGATCATCTGAGATCAGGTGTTCGAGACCAGCCTAGCCAATATGGTAAAATCCCATCTCTACTAAAAATGCACACAAAACATTAGCCAGGCGTGCTGGTATGTGCCTGTAGTCCCAGCTACTTGGGAGGCTAAGGCAAAAGAATCGCTTGAACCCAAGAGGTAGAAGTTGCAGTGAGCCGAGATCATGCCACTGCACTCCAGCCTGGGTGACAAAGCGAGACTCTCAAAAAAAAAAAAAAAAAACCCACAATATTTCCTTAATATTACTCAAATATCCAGTCAAACTTCATTGTCCCGGTTTGTTGCCCAAACTGGTCTTGAACTCCTGGCCTCAAGCAATCTTCCCATTTCAGCCTCCTAAAGTGCTGAGATTATAGGTGTGTGCCACCATGTCTGGCCCCCAAATTCTTTTCATAAACTTTATACATTTCTTCAGATTTTTAAAACTCAGGATCCGGACTGGCGTGGTGGCTCATACCTGTAATCCCAGCAATTTAGGAGGCCAAAGTAGGTGGATCACTGGAGGTCAGGAGTTCAAGACCAGCCTGGCCAATATGGTAAAACCCAGTCTCTACTAAAAATACAAAAACCAGTCAGGTGTGGTGACAGGCAACTGTAATCCCAGCTACTCAGGAGGCTAAGGCAGAAGAATTGCTTGAACTTGAGGGGTGGAGGTGGCAGTGAGCTGAGATCCCGCCATTGCACTCCAGAGTAAGACTCCATCTCAAAAAAAAAAACAAAAAACAAAACAAAACAAAAAAACAACAGGCTGGGATTCAGTGGCTCACGCCTGTAATCCCAGCACTTTGAGAGGCCAAGGCAGGTGAATCATGAGGTCAAGAGATCGAGACCATCCTGGTCAACATGTTGAAACCCCATCCTATTAAAAATACAAAAATTAGCTGGGCGTGGTGGCACTCTCAACTCTGATTTAGCTGGATATAACAAGAATGACCCTACAATAGCCTGTAGTCCCAGCTACTTGGGAGGCTGACATAGAAGAATTGCTTGAACCCTAGAGGCAGAGGTTGCAGTGAACTGAGATCATGCTGCTATACTCCAGCCTGGCAACAGAGCAAGACTCCATTTCAGAAAAAAAAAAAAGGCCAAATGAATCCACATACTCAGATTGTCTGATGTCTTTTAATATATACATTTACACTCCCTATCTTTTTTATCTTTGCCATTTAGTTGTTGAAAACACTGGGTTGTTTGTTCTAAGGAATTTCCAAATGGTCTGGATTTTCCTATGTTAAAATTTGTATATAAATTGTCAAAGTCAAATAAAATATAGAGATGAATCTAAATTTAAAATGTTTTATTTCGGGGCTGGGTGCAGTGGCTCAGGCCTATAATTCCAGGACTTTGGGAGGCCAATATGGGCAGATCACTTGAGGTCAGGAGTTCAAGACCAGCCTGGCCAAAATGGTGAAACCTTATCTCTACCAAAAATACAAAAATTAGCCGTGTGTGGTTGTGGACACTTATAGTCCCAGATACTTGGGAGGCTGAGGCAGGAGAATCATTTGACCCGAGAGGCCAAGTTTGCAGTGAGCCGAGATCTCACCACTGCACTCCAGCCTGGGCGAGACTGTGTCAAAAAATAAAAATAAAATAAAATGTTTTATTGAGGAAGCAAGAATTGTAATTTGAGGCATCCACACAGACTGGGTAGTCTTCAGTATGTCAGAAGAACAAAGTGAAGTTTGGGAATTTTGTGAGCAAGAGAAACATTATGGATTGTTTTAAAAGCAGCTCACCGGTGCTAGAGACGCTTTTGGGAGCTGGCAAGCTCAGATTAGTGAGTACAACAGGAGGTTAACCAATCTTAGAAGCATGGCAGGTCACTTCAGCAGCTACTAGGTCTAACTGGTTTTAGGGTTACAGCAGGTCTTTTTTTTTTTTTTTTTGAGAGGAGTCTCGCTCTATTGTTTAAGCTGCAGTGCAATGGCACAATCTCAGCTCACTGCAACCTCCGCCTCCTGGGTTCAAGCGATTCACCTGCTTCAGGCCTCCCGAGTAGCTAGGACGACAGGCACCCACCACCAAGCCCAGGTAATTTTTGCATTTTCAATGGAAATGGGATTTCACTGTGTTGGCCAGGCTGGTCTTGAACTCCTACCTCAAATGATCCGCCTGCTTCAGTCTCCCAAAGAGCTGGGGTTAGAGACTTGGGCCACTGTGGTGCAGCTTTTTTGTTTCCTTTTTTTAAAAAATTAACTTGTTTATTTTATAGAGATGATGTCACCCTATCCCGCCCAGCCTGGTCTCAAACTCCTGGCCTCAAGCAATCCTCCCAAACCTTGGCTTCCCAAAGCACTGGGATTAGAGGTGTGAGCCACTATGCACAGAGAATTTATTTCTTAAAATAAGTGCTATGTGCCCCCAAGTGCTTTCTTTTCTGACCTCTCAACCCTGATTTAGTTGGATAAGACAAGAATGACCCAATTTGTTTAACCAGCTTTCACCCAATTTTCTGTTCCCTTATCTGGACTCAGAACCAGAGAAAGTCAATGTTTAAGAACAATTTTTGGCCAAATATTAGCCATGATTCTCTTCTCCTTGCCATGTTTTAAAACGATTATTTTGTGAGGTACTGAATGACAAGTTTAGGCTTTTCCCCCCAAGTGTTTTCTTTTCTTTTTTTGTTTTTTGAGACGAAGTTTGCTCTTGTTGCCCACGCTGGAGTAAAATGGCGTGATCTCAGCTCACTGCAACCTCCACCTCCTGGGATCAAGCAATTCTCCTGCCTCAGTCTCCCAAGTAGCTGGGATTATAGGCATGCACCACCATGCCTGGCTAATTTTGTATTTTTAGTAGAGATGGGGTTTCTCCATGTTGGCCAGGCTGGTCTTGAACTCCTGACCTCAGGTGATCTACCCACCTTGGCCTCCCAAAGTGCTGGGATTCTATAGGTGTGAGCCACTGTGCCTGGCCCA